AACAAGCTTTATTCTCCAACTATCTTCCTTTGTCCCAACTCAAGCACAAATTATGTGCTTCAGATATTATTTCTAAAAGTGGGCTACTACATTTTTGAAGTCTGACAAAAGAATATGCGAGTTGTTTATTTTATTTCTATTTCTCTTATAAACATGATAACCAAGAGGTAGGCAGAGTATGTTCTCTAACTACGAGCCATCTCTTGCCTGTGGGAAAATATTTTGTGCTCTTTCACAAATATTTTCACCTTGCTTTGCTTCTTCTGATGACTACAGTTGCAGTAATGCTGCCTGAGATCAGAGGTACTGTTCCCTGGAGCCTTATCCCCTTTTGAAAAGGAACCTGTGAGTTGAATGGCACAGGTAACAGATGTCTGCAATTTGGTCTTTCCATAGAGCCAGTGACTTCTTTTTAAACATTTTCATATCAGTCACAACCAGGAAGGGAGGAGAGGTTGAAGAAGAGGCTGAAATGTCTGCAATTAAAGTTAAGAATTTTGTATTCACTGAAAAGATGTGGCTGTGATTCAATCCAAGAGACTCTATCACTCAAATTGAAAAACTGGAAAAATAATGAAAATATCAGAATAGTTTTGTTCCATCCAAAATTAAACATTTTGACTGTTCCATTCTAAGCTAAAGTAAGTCAACTTTAAAACAGAGGCTGAAAACATTTGAGAGTAGACCATTCAATTCACCCCATCATAATTGATTTTGCTCTGATTGAAAGTGAAAAAAATGATTTTTTTCACTTTCAGTCACAAAACTTGAACTTATCTTCAACTCCGGTTTTCAAGTGGAATAATTCTGTTCTGTTGGTTTGGTTTTTTTTTTTTTTGCTGCCAGGCAGGACTAGACATCAGTTACAATAAAGCTTTTGAATACAGTAATAATGTATGCATGACAGGATTTTCCCCCCTTTTTGTTGATGTTACTAAAGATATGATGCTATAGCTACATTGTGTAGTGTCGTACCCAAGTCAGGACACCCAGAATAACTTGCAAAGATTTACTTATCAGCCATTTCTCCTACCTTTCCTTACTGTGGCCTTTCCTTATTCTCCTGGAGAACACTTGCACAAGGTCAATCAGTATTTTCTATTACTTAAAAACTTTATTTGAGATTAAATGTATAGATATCAGCACAAAATAAATGCATAATTAAATGACTTGAGAAGGAATCTCAAAAGTATATTGCCAGGAATATGACATAAATGAAGTTATTAGGAACTTTTTCTGGTTTAGGTTTTCTTCATAAAAGATGGAAATAGATTGATGTTTGGAAACTTCAAAGACAATGGACTAAAGATTGTAAATGTAATTTATAAATCCTACTTTAGTTTACTGATACTAAGAAATATCTTTCATGCTATGGGATGCCAAAGAGTCAAATTAGTATGTCTAATTGAACTGATTCTGATTTTAGAAAAGCTAACGTCAACTTGAATGATTTTTCTTGTTGAAAGCATTCTTTGTATCCTTGTGTATATTCCAGTCACATAACTCATACATCTGTTATTCCCAGCATCGGGCCTATGATGTTTACACAGATCTCCCTGTAGGGCATTTTGGCCTAACTGAATCATTTTTTCAACATAATGTCCTAGTTTAATGATACTTTTACTTGAAATACTGTCTTTTGCAAGTTTTATCCCCACTGGCACTAACTCAGCCCTTCCACACTTACACTGGAAAATCTGATCCTACTCTTAAGCAGAAGATGCTGGGAAGGAAACTGATTTCTCCTGCACAAGGTCGTGAGCACTTCAGACCTGCAGAGTGGGTAATGTGACAGCAGAGACTTTGGGGATTATGAACACACATAAATCTTAATGCAATGTCACTCCTGATTTCTGATGAAGTGTGCTAATGATCAAAAGATACAATTAAAATTCCATAAAAAGATTCAGTCTTTGACAGAGCTCAGGATGCTCCTACTGTGTTCTCACTTCCATTCTTGACTATTTGACCATCACCAGAATTCTTCTCTTCCAGGCTTGGGTTTAGGAACAAGTACTGTGTATTTTAAAATCACTGGTAGACATTCATGTCTTATTTGGAAAACTATATGGAGCCATTCCATATCTGAGCTTACAAGTATAACATTTTCAAGGTATTAAGGCGTGTATAAAGTATTTTTTCATTGAAAATTAGGCTTCTGAACACAGAAGACCCTTTTCAAAAAGGAACTTGATTCAAATTTCTTAAGAAACTCAAATAACCAGGTGCTTCATTGCAAAGGAAGCAATTGATAATGTGGATTTTTAGTGTATGAGTATTTATACATACTTAAAAATAGATTTTCCAAAGACTTATGTCTAACGATCTCTAGATAATTTAGAAATCTAAACCTAAATTTATTTCTTTCTTTTTATTTTTAATAAGTCAATAATACTAAGTGTTTGTGTCTAAAATCTATGAAGACTGTGGAATTTCAAAATATGACACAGTTCCCAAGAACTAGTGACCTAGTTCCAATGAATGACACAACATTGGCTAGTAGTCATTAAAAAAAGCCCAAGTCTTGCAATATTCTCTCATCTTCATTTTGAGAAGACAAGTACAAGACGATTTTGCTTCTACACACATAGTGTCACAATGTGTCATGACCTTGGGATCAGAGTGGCAAGGAATATCCTAAGGAATTTGAGGATCATTACTAGGATTTAATGTAAAAGATTCTCTAACTCCAAACTTTACCTAACTTACTTCACTGAAGCAAATACAACACCTGTGTATTTCAAAAGACCTCTGCACACAATATAAACTTAAAGCTTCTCTTCAGTAAGGAAAATTTTCGCATGTTCATTTTTCAGAGTAGAACCTCAGTGCAAGGACCTGCTCTGAATGATAGCTGGGAAAGTTAAAATGTTGGAAAATTAGGCAAGAGGAAACTAACATAAAAGCAAAAAATAATTATTTTTTTTTTAAATCACAAGAAAGATGCCCACATGACAGTGTAGGACTTTCAAATGAGTAATGTAGGGTTTTCAAAGGAGCAGGTGCTGTTAACTACAGAGCCCACTATGAATCAGATTTGAGTTGGACTTGCTGAGCCTAAATAATTTAGATTGCATAGAAAATTCTGTATTCTGGTGAATTAAGATTTCGGGCTTAGCAGACAACTGAAAAAAGGGGTTTCTTTTCATACCCTCCAGGAAAATGCTGCTGCAACATGTTATGGACTTATTTTGATAGGCAAATAAGTGGTAATGAAAAAAAGTATTTGTGAAGTAACATCATCTGGAAAATTCTGTTGAACAAAAATAGAAAACCCCTTTTTTTCCTCACTACACAAAAGAAAACACATTTTAAAAATATCAGTTTCTATTATACTTTGCTCAAGTTTTTATACTGTTTTTTAGAAAGGCATAACCTTTCTGAATAATCTTTATATATCTAGAGAATCATCACTTTTTTCAAGTTCTTTCAATATCATACTACCAAAGTATGTAGGGACTGGGACTATATATTTTTGTAACTAATTTCCTTAAGATAATGTTAGAAATATCAGGTTCCTTAAAATATAGATGAATTTCAAGGTGAGTCTGCTAGCAGATGTTATTAATGGCATATGATTTATTGTGACACGAAATCTGATCTGAAACTCATGTTATTAGCCGAGCTTTTTATAAATTATAATTGCCAACCGCTGAAAATATGCAGAAAGACCACTGATAAACTAGCTTCATCTTCAAGGCCTGGAATATTGTCCTTTCCTAAAAGTCTAATACTTCTAGACCTGGTTGTAGGGTACAGTACATTGGGATGCATAGATCAGTCTTGAGTTCAGATCTTATCATAGTATAATTCTTTCAGAATAAGGAGCATCACAGCTAGGAAAAAGGGGTCATAGAAAACAAATATACAATGTGCAAGTTAAAAAGAAATACACATTTGGGTTCACAGTATGTCATTATATAGATGCTAAGCAGACTGAGTATTTGAGGGAAAAAAAGCCCTCATTCTGACTATTAGCTATGAAACTTTTAACAAAAAATAAAAAAAAAACAAGTAAGCAAGATAATATTCAAACATATTTAAACATTGTACATTCTGTACAGCTCTTAAATGTGAACACAAACAGCATATTTTACCATCCTAAGGTCTACGAAGATTTGCATCTACAGAAGACTTTCCAGGTCACCCTCATGGAAAACTAAACAGTCTATGGTTAGATTCACAGTGACAAAATATTTGTGTTAGTAATTATTTCTAGGCATTTTCTGTTTATTCCAAATAAGGTTGTATCTTACTTTTTTCTCCCCATGTGTCTTTAAATGTTAATTAAAGTTTCTGAAATGTTACTTTTACCCACCACAACTAACTTGCTAAATTACCTAAATAAGAAGAAACAAACATAAATGTTGCATTACGAATATTATCTACTCAACAAACCAGATATTAAATTTACAGTAAATGTAACGCATTTTTAATCTCCAGAAAAGCTCTGCAATAGCACTAAAGATTCAGAGAGCAACACAAGAAACAGATGCATGGTCTCATTCCTGACCTTTTTTATAGAAACAAGTTGTTTAATGATAAAAGCAATTCTGTGTAAAATGGCATTCACTTGCCCTTACTAAGAGTATATCTGGAAGAGCCCCCTGTCAATGTATCAGTGTGAGTGTGGGAATGAAACATAAGGATGACCATCTGCAGCTGTCTAAGAAGTGTTCTTCAGTGCCTAATGGCGAAGTGTCAGTTCAGGGATCCTCACAAACACAATGCATCATCTTGTCCATGCTAGCCTTACAAGGCAAACATTTCACCTGTGAGAACAGTTTATTTATAATGCCATTCATTTCAGTTGAAATACCAGATATAAAAAAGTTACACTACAAGCAGTCTGGAAGCATATGCTTAATATAAAATGAACCAATTTCCTCTCTTTTATAAGTACCAATATTTTAAAGGATGTACGAAACTTAACCCCTCACAGAACATATCTTAATAACATGGAAAAATGTTTTTATATGCATATATTTTTAGATTCTTACCTACTGTTGAACTTCTCTGGATGTTTTTCTCTCATGATATGGAATCTGTGGGCAATTGAAGCATCCTAACAGGACAAAAAAAAAAAGCACCATAAATCTATTGTGACAGGAAAATTGCAACACAGAGGACCCAGTCTGTAAACAATGCATATCGTTTGTAAAGTGTTTTGTGAACTGTCATTTTCAACAACAGCAATACTCTTATCACTTAGAAAGTTTACAGGTACATTGCTCCCAGAATGGGATGTATCTCAACTTAGTAATTTATTATTCTTGTTGCAGTCTCCATTACTTCTTTTTACAAATCAGACATGATAGTTTTGCACAGTGAAAGTGTTTTCAAATTTTATACAGTGAATAATATCCAGATATGGTGAAGGTTTGCTGTAAGAAAAGTTCTGTCTTGTTGAAATACCAAATAAACTATTTGAAATCCATTTCTTTAGTAAAAGTGACACATTCAGCAAAGTTACTTTATATGCATACAAGTTGATATTTTCATATGGCATTCAATAGCTTTCTCTAAAAGTGAGTAGAAAATAGGAGTAATTGCTAGAAGACTCCCCATTTGCTGTGTATCAGAAGAGAAATCATGTGGGGAAATACTGCTTAATATAAAAAATGTATTTTTAAACGAAATCAATTTTATCAGTATTTTTTAATTAAGTAAATAATTTTAATAATATAATCAAATAAGATTATGTGTATGTGAAATGAAATAGCTGTATGAAATATTTATAAATGTGCAATATTTAGAAGAGAATAAACCAATTATGCTGGTGGGAGTTGTTGAAAATAGAATATTTTGAACTGATGTGCTAGAATCAGTTTTCAAAGCATTTTTCGTATCTCCTTTGAAGGTATGAAGAGAATTTTTTCCTCAATCCAGATCATGTCACTTTTGTTTCTCATTTTAATCATTAAAACTTTACAAACTGGGAATTAATCTTTGATTTTACAATGTATGCATTAAATTAACTATGAGAGTATGAAATCTACCAACTCTTGAGTCTTTCAGTGGATAGTCAACACAGAGAAATCCATTTGGATCATGTCTTTGTAATTATGTCTTAAATTTCTGGATATATATGATATATATAAGGTCAGTTAGTAAGAAATATAAATGAATTCCAGCTCCTATGCAAATAGCATTTGAGAAAAGCTACAAATAAAACTGTCACTATAACCAATTCCCATATATATATATATATATATATATATATATGTGAACTTCCCCACCTATTATTTGTGAACTTAATAAATTATGGAACTACAAAGCCTAAAAATTTGAAAGAAATATTAAATTCAGTATAAGTCATATCAAGCAACATTTTAAATTATTTTCATACAATGGAAATTAGAATTTGGAGGAAAATCCCCCAAATAAAATACTTAAATCATTTATGAATTATTTCAAGCATGAATAAAACTTTTGTTCAAAATAATTTTTACTTAAACAAATCAATGTTAATCTAAATCACAAATAAGCAAGGATTTAATGCAGATACAAAGGTGCCCACTAATATAAACCATGGCTTCAACACTGTGTTTAAAGAAGTTTTTTATTTACTAGAATCTTAAGCAGGGCATGCACCAGAGAACTGACTGGTCCAACCTTCAAAGGTTGTTTTACTAACTCACAGGTGCTTTGAAAAGATAAATGTTGAACTTTAATGCCATTAAATTCAAAGGTAAAATTGTTCAGATAGATTGATAACATATAAATAAACTTTTACAATTATGAATAAAAAGCAGTACATAATTCATAACATTTTACACACACTATCTACATAAGGATGTAACACAGAAAGGAATTTTTAGGCAAAACTTGTGATCACTGATCAAATCAGTTAGCAACAATAAATGTACTGACTCCATCAAGGTACTCAGCTTTTTTTATGATCCTGTTATGTAGTTTCTAAAGATGCACACAGTTTGCTGTTTTACGCACATCACATAATTATTCATGTATTTTTCTATTATATTTAAGAATGGAATTGTCACCCAACATTTCACTGTTCTGCAAGGAAATGATAGCAAAATTTCCAAGTGAATGATGTTAGTCAAAAATGCCTTATTGTTCTTGCTGTCATCCAAACTGTCTGAAACTTTCAGTGCTGAATTCTCAAACTGCACTCATTTTTAATTTAAATTTATTTTTATGTGCAATTTTATAAGGCAAATATCCACAAGTATCCAGGTGATCTCACAGTTCTTGGAGACGGATTAAATAAAGCTGACAGTAAACCCTGAGACACCATACTTCTAAACAATGCCTGCTAGCTGAACTAAAATAATAACTCTGTTAACTTTAGAAAGACCCATTATTCATACTTTATCCCACATTAGATGTGCTGGCATTAGGAAAGTATATTTGTTAGCCAGTTTCATATAAAAAAGAAATGAAAGGACTATTGTTGTAGTTAACTGTTCATTTTCCACACGCTGAAGCATAAGACAGTCCCAAGACAAAATGAATAACAGAGTAGTAGCATTTTTGACAGAGACTAGGAAACACTAATCAAGGACTAACTGTCTAATGAATGAAATGAAAAGGCTAATGTGCTTACTCACGCATAATAAATGCAAGGCACAAACAAGCTAGGGATCAATGCCCACTGCAGATGGCAAACAGGCAGTTGTTTCCATGCAAGGTTGATTCGATCAAAATTTTCCCCTCCCTGAACATTTTCTGACTCCAAAATGAATCAACTGACTTAATGAACAGAGAGGTAAAAAAATTAATACGCCCAGCTAATTTTGACAGGCACAGCACAAGACAGGCATACATCAGGTCAATTTCACTAAAAGCATTGCTGAAGAGCTACTTTTATTGATGGAAACTGTAAACTAGAAAGTAACTACACCCAGACAAGCTCAAAAGTAGTTGAGCTTCTAAGGCTTCCTTCAGTTTATACTGTCCAACTGTTCTTCCAAACCCTCAATCGAATCCAAAGTAGAGTCCTTAGATTCCCTAGCACAGGGACCTCTTCCCAACCATAACTCCCCCTCTCAGAAAATCTAAAACTAGCCCATGCTGTCTGTTCATTAGGACAACAACCCTCTGCTTTAGGGGGAAAAAGGATAAGAGAGAAAAAAACAAAACCAAACAAAAATACCCACCCAAGAAACTACATTGAGTTTTCTGTTTTTCAAATGTCTGTATTCTTGCACTTGTTAAGGCAGTAGCAGTTGACTGGTATAAGTAAATTAAAAGCAGTGGGAAGAATTGAAAGTAATAGGAACTTGGCAGTGAGTAGGAATGTAAGTACTGTCTCCTAAGAGCTGCAGGAATTCCAGATGCCATCTCTGAATACTGAGGACCAACCATTAGAAGTTTCCTGGCTGAGAAGAGTCCTTCATTGAGAGATATTTGGCTACATTCGTAACACGATTGATTTTAGCACACTTCACTCAGCCATTTCAAGTAGGGGCATCTTGCCCAACTTGTTTAGACATAAAACTGTTGTTTGGACCGATAGAGAAATTACATATTTTTTGTGTCAAGAGCTATACTAAAATCACCTAATTAACTATACAGAAACAGAGTAACGGTATGGTAAACCAAATATAGTCTGCAAAATGTGCTGATCTTTCCTGGTACATGGTATTGTGAATGACCAGGAAAATATGAGAAATTATTTTTGTATTTTACTATAAAACAAGTGTGAAAGAGAAACCCCAGGATTCAGTAAAGTAAACTTGCATGCTTCATGATATTATTTAGCAAAGATAATAGGATTTTTAAACAACAATCATTCGACAGCCAGATACTGGTCCATAAATAATATAACCTCTGGGATTTACATATTAATTTTTATTAGTAAACTGATTTGCATTTTGGCCTGAAATACTATTTTCCAGCATTACTATATATGAATCTAAATATTTTCCATTTTTTTCAGTTTTCATTTTTCCAGTTTTACAAGTAACACACCATAAGCATACCTAAAAATGGCAAACATTTAATTAATAATAATAATAATAATAATAATAATCTGAGAAGAAACAATGTTGTCAAGCCTGTTGCAAGATGAAAGGAGGAGGAAGGTCTTATGGCATCACTCTAATATGAAACTATCACCTTTCCCTTCATCCACAATTCAGTCACAGAGCTCATTTTATACCTCTAATTGTAATGCATTTCACAAACCATCCAAGAATTAAGATCTTTTCCAGGAGCAGTTTTGCATCAGAGTCAATGTTGGGCACAAAGTAATGCTGAATACTGAGCATCTAAAGCAGAACTAAGCAGCCAATTAGGCAATTTTGTGTTTCTGGGACTATTATATGAATATTTGAGTTGCACAGTACTATTCTAAAATTCTGCATTACTTTTTTAAGATATACAAATTTTTTTGTCATTCACAAGTCATATGACAATAGCCTACATAATAATTTTTCTCAACTAAATTCATAGTACCAATCTAATCTGGAAGAAACTGTCACACTGTGCTCTTTTTCATATGCCTTTCTTGTTTAGATGGTACAATACTATAGCATTTAGAAACAAGAGAGGAAAGAATGTGTATTTGAAGAAGAGAAAATGCAGTTTATCCTAGTTTAAATTCTACAAAATTGTACCAACTCTTAAAAAATGTACCTTTACATCACACAAGTATTCAACCAGGACATATATGTGATGAACATGCAGACATATACACATATATGTACCCTTACATTTGAACCTGTTCAGGCTCTGAAGGAGCTGGGCTATCCTTATACCTCACTCAGGTTTGTTTTAAATCCTGACAGTGAAGATAAGATAGAGGACAGACAGAGCATATCTGAATCTACTCCTAGGAAATGGAAAAAATATTTTAATTGAACTAGGACATTTCTCAAAGTGACCTGCCAAGAAGAAAAGAAGCTTAAGTTGCTACACCTCTTTAATACCTTATGATTGACTTACACATATATATATTCATCTTTTTAATGGGTATTAGCATTACCGGAAAGCAATCTGAAGCAGTCTTTTCAGAGGAGTAACCTTATACATTGTGAATAACCTTATAGAAAGATTAATGCATTTAATATATGTCTGTCTATAAGTTTGCTGTGATTA